AGACATTCTTGGATGCTTTTGGTGAGCCATGGGGGCTTTTTACACCCTCCTGCTCCCTTTGATCTGCGTTGGGATTACCTCCCTTTGTAGTGGAAGTACAATTTAATTTAAAAAAAACAACAAACTTTTGAACAGTAGTCATGTGCTAGAGAATGCTTGAGTGCAAAATGCATCTCCTGGCTTAATTCAGCTCTCATAAATAACACCATGTTTCTCTTATTCTGTGCAGGGGAAGGGGGGGTTGCTCTGTGGTTGTGCAGAAAGGCACTGTACTCTCACCTAGTACACAGCTGATACGTTCCATGCTAAGCCCAGCTTCCATCTTGTGTAGAGACACCCAACTACTTGCCACTCTGGCTACAAAGGGCTGGATCTAGATGTGCAGGCATGTGCGGTTTGTGGCACCACAAACCTCTTTGTGGCACCACAAATTGCACGCATTGCACATTAAACCATGTGCAGCACTGCTAACTTGTAGTGCAGGGGTAAAATTTGCTACCAGGGGATTTCCCATTAGGAAACCCCCCCCACAACAAACCCTGAAAAAAGCCTAGGGCTGCCTGCTCTTCCATCTCTGCATGGTGCGAAGCCCCCATGCTGAGGCATCCTGCAGCCTAGTCAGTGCTCCCCACTTGCTGGGGCACAGTGTGCCTTCAGACAGGGGAGCAGGCAGCCCTGGGCTGGATGCTTCCCTGTCTCCACACATCCAAAATACCTGCAACCATGCCCCGCGCACAATAAAAGGTCCAAAGAAAAACAATATGGTAGAACCTTGCCTTACCCCAGCGTATGCCAGTGTTTCCTTTCCTCCTTTCCCCTTTAATACAGAGATGCATGGGACAGCAATGATGGCATTTATCTTTGAACCAGACTAGATGGAGGCTTGTTCAACATTGCAAAGTTTAGAGCAAAAACCAAGGTGAAAAAAACAGTTCTGAGAGATTTCCTGTTTGTGGATGATGTGGCCTTGGTTGCCCACAGTGAATCTCCCCTGCAAAATCTCTTAGGCAGATTTTATGAATCATGCAAGAGCTTTGGGATGGCAATTAGTCTTAAGAAGACTGTGATCATGTACCAAGGGGTGAAAAAAATCAATACCTGACATTGCTCTGGACGATAAATCTCTTGGTGTTGTTGACACTTCTTGCTAGTTGGGTTCTTTGATCAGCAGGAACCTTGACCTTCAGCCTGAACTAACAGAATCAGAAAAGCAACTAAGAATTTTGGGCTGTTACAGAAACATGCATGGAATAACACAAACTATCGGCTAAGGTGAAGATACGAATCTTTGAGACTTATGTGCTGTCCTCCCTGCTTTATGGTTCAGAAACAGGGACTACATATACTAGGCATATGAAGTGACTGAATAGCTTCCACATGAGATGTCTGTGGGAATACAGAATACCAAACACAGAGGTATTGCAGCGTGTAGGACTGACACATTTAGAAACCACTATCAAGAAGAAAAGTTTGCAATGGATTGGCCACGTCAGGAGAATGGGAGAAGACAGTATCCGCAAAAGTATTTTGTATAGTGAGATTCAAGAAAGGTCTATATAGCAGAGCCACCCTCTATGGCAGTACCACGATGTATGCAAAAATGATATGAAGTCATTCAGCATCAACATAGAAAGCTAGGAGGAGCGGACAAAATCCTGTCCAATCTGGAGGGAACATCTGGCACTGTGTGCAGCTTAACATGAAGGGACTTTGATCCAGAGGACGGAAGCAAAATGAGAAAGAAGAAAGCATGCTGTAAACTTGGACTCCAGCTCAGAAAACATATGGATCTGTGAAACATGTAGCAAGCTGTGTCGCTCTCAATTTCGGCTTGTCAGCCACAAACGGTTTCAACAGGCATCTGAATAGACCTCTTACATGTACACTGCGATCCAGAGGACTGATGGCTGCCTACTGCATGGGGAATGAATATTGCTGCCAGTCAATGAACTGAAGTGCAATCCAGAACTGAGGCAGGACCTACCTTAAGTAAGGTAGGTTCAGTCTGTTATATGTTTGTGCTTGATTCACTTCCCTCTTTCTCAGTTTCAATTATTTCCTAAATTACACAAATGCTATTTCCTAAACTACAGTTGCCTCTGGGCCATATTTAACTACAATGGACTGACTGGGATGTAATAATTTCTCTACTAAATTCTAAGTCTCTGGGCTATAATGGAAGTCAACATTTTGTAGCCCGAGTTCACAGGATAATAGATCTTTAGTTCTTAATGTATGCCATATCTTCCTTTAAAAAAAAAAAATCACAAAAGAAGTCATGTGAGAGGACCCTGATGTATCGTTAGTTCAGGCATCACTGAAAGCACCCTAAAGTCCAGTACAATTTACTTTGTTTAGAAGTCAGCTACATAAATATCCATTTTGTGTCTGGCTTCACAAATGAGTTCTTTCTCATTTGCCTAAGTTGAAAAGCCTGCAGTGCTATTCCAAACCTGCTGCTACTGGAAGGGAGGAATAGTCTGACCTTGAAACAGCTTTTTCACTGCAATATTTATGAACCATCCTCAACATGTCATAGAGGTCCCTGCAAATCACCCTGTACCAGGATCCCATCAACCTGCTATATCCCTCTGCATTCTCTTTTCCTTGCATCCTACAAAATATATTTGAAGGGGATGTTCCATCTTTTTTCCTAAAATCTGTTGCAATTTTGGCTCATTTCAGCTTGCTTATTTGATATTGAACCTCTTCCTCTTTAACTTATACTCACACCCTCATGTCCACAACTTCTCTAGCTTGCAGTAGGCTTTGAAGAGCTCTCCAATGACTTTTGCAATGCTAAATGTTAGCTGTGTGTCAATGTCCTGAGAGAGAACATGGAGAGACCTCCAGGCTCTGTTTGGTCAGTTTCCACCATTCCATCTGGGATGTTCCTCATTCCATGAGGATTCAACCTTTCAACTGCAACTGCATTACTGAGTAAACAAGTATTTAATTTCCAATCACCTTGCTAAAAGTCACTTCCCATACTCCTGAAGTTTACTTAGACCAAGGCAGTAGTTAGTGAACACCACTAGCTGCCCAACCCATCTTCTGCTCTGGGTAGTAGTATTCTCACTCCAGCTGACCACCTGATGCCTCACAGAGAATGTACTGTAACTATCCACATTTAAGCGAACCCTCTAGAAATTAGATTCTATAAATGGAAAATTATAAATGTGTTATAATTTTCCATTTAGAGAGTCTAATTCCTAGATGGTTCTCTTAAATTTGTCTCCAAACATAGGGAAGGCAGGCGGCCTGACCTCTGCACCAGGCTCCCCTGACACTTATCCAACCCCATACCTGCACCTTGCCACCTGCCCCCCTACCCAGTCCCCAACCTCTGCTGCTGCTCAATCCCCATCCTGTGCTGTTGCTCACTCCTAAACCCCCACTGCTTCTCAATCCTCAACCCACACGGGATCCCCCATCCTATCTCCTCCCATGCATTGTTGCTCCATATTGTAACCCACTGCTTCCCCATTCCCTGACTGGGGCTGCTGCCCCATCCCCTGATATGTGCTGCAGCCCTCTCCCCCATGGGCAACAACACGCACTACTGCAGGGGTGGGCAATTATTTTGTGTGGAGGGCCATTTACTGACTATTGGCAAGCCATCAAGGCCACATGACAGGCAGCCCAGGGCAGGTAAATATTATTTTTAATTTTTAGGGGCCCTGTGGGCTGGATAGAGTGGCCTGGTGGGCCGCATTTGGCCCACATTTTGCCCACCCCTGCACTACTGCATAATTCCCACATACAATGCTGCCTCACCCCCTGCCCAACACCAGAAGCTCTTGCTCCACTCCTCGGCCCACATCAGGGCCAGAGCACTCATATTTGCATCCAAGATGAGGCTTGTTTTTCCCCAGCTGAATGAGGGAAACATCCTCTTGTATTTAAGTAAATATGGTAAAGGCCCCCCTCTTATTAAGTGATGATACCCCAAAATATTCTTTAGCCTGGGGCATCCCATGCATGCTTACAAAAAGTTCATTAGCTTGCAACCCCTTGTTGTGTTGGATGGTTTCCTATGGCTCAGTAGTGTAGGGATGCAGCCAAATACCTGGTGCACACAGGCAGTGATGATTTCCAGTTTCTACCACAGTCACAATTCTAATTGTGCATTGATAGCAGCCACTTTTTGTTGCCTCCCCCCACTATGCCAGTGCACTGCTGGCACTGTTCTTGCTACAGTATAGCACTGCCCCCCTCCCCTTATCTCTTTATCTCCCCCCTCCCTTGTCTTTTGTACTTTAAGTTCTTTCTCCTTCTTATACTCTGCTTTCTGCCTTTCACAGCATCTGATGAAGTGAACTTGGGTTTACAAACACTTTTGCTCTCTCTCTATATCTTAGTTAGTCTATAAAGATGCATATCAAGCCTGCCTTCTAAAGTAGAGGTGTCAAACTCACTCTGTTTTCCAAGCCAGATCTAGACCATGGGGCTTTTCATGGGCGGGACCTACAGAGCAAATGATGGAAGCATCAGAGGACTTTTTCTAGAGGACAGATTGCACCTGAAGCCACATACAGTGAAGCAGGCAGCTCTGAAACAAAACCAGCATTTATTAGTCTACAGCAATACAGCAGGCAGAGTGCTTGGAGCCACAATACCTAGACAAGCTCCTAGGCAGAGTCCCAGTCAGGTAAACAGACCTGACTGTGCTCTTGCAAGATTATCAATCTCCTCTTGTCCTGCCTTTGTCTCTTTCTTGGTCTCCTTTTCAAGCCATCTTTTTGCACTGAGTTATTCTGAATTCTTTCTTTGGCACCAGAAAGAGCAGGGAATCTCCCAAGGTGCTGGAGCTTGACTCCATTTGGTCCCAGGTTGATATATGAAATTTGGTTCATTGTTTAGTAGTTTCCATTGGCAGAACACTTAGGCAGATCCTCACAAGTCTCTTTCAAAATACCATAAGCTCATTATTTTCTAAGCTATTTAAGGGAAATGAAGACATCAAACATTATTGTAACAAACCCATTGAATCTAGAAACATTACATACCCGTAGTCTGTCACCATTCCCACCTCAGTTTCAGATGTTGCAGGGCAGAGATGGGGACATACCAGTGTTTTACACCCAAAGAACAGGAATTGACTAAGAGTGCCCCCTCCCTCCTCCTTGGTCTGGCTGCCTCCCTACCCACCTCCTTTGATACTAGTAAAACGCAATGCCTCTCCTTCATCATAACCTGATCAAAAGGATGTACCTTTCCCCAACCCCCTGCTGAGGTCCCCAACACACCCGGCCTAGAACACAGCCTTGTTTCTTGGATCCCAGCTAAATGCAAATGCTATTACTTCAAAGATCAATAGCACTTACCTCTGGCTTGTGCCTGGGCACTGCTGCTTTCAGGCCATCAAGCCTCTGTCTCACACCCCAGTCTGCATGTGTGCACAAGCTCCTTATTTTCCTGACCAACTTGCTGATGTTTCTAATCACACTGATTTACCTTTCCTCTCATCTTTCCTTCTCTTCCAGCTGATTTTGTCTGGTTGGTTGGTAGGTTCCCCAGTTCCAGATCCTTGTCACAGCTTTAATAATTTTTGCTGCACTGGCTGAAGCTCCACAGGTCCCCAGTCCCCTCACTTCTGTTAGTGACGTGCCCTTTCTTCTTGCACTTCCTCTTCAGGCATAACAAAGAAAACCCATTCTCTGTTGGAACTGCTGGGCCGCTAGATGATTCTGATGATGGTAGGGCCCTGTAGTTATAGTAGCCCCAACATTTACTTAGGTTCCTCTCTCTCCTCTTCTGATCCCAATGAGTGAGAGCTTGGGCTTGGGGAAGTCAAAGGGTACTTCCCAGTGAAAGACTGTGACAGGAATACCTCTACTAGAGTCTTTCTATCGGTGACTCCACCCTCCTGTTATGGGCCAACTGCCTGCTTACTCGCCTGCCATGCCTTGATCTTAATTGATTAATTAATAGATGTAATGAGCGGAAGGCTGCCCATTTTATTTGCCCCGGTGCCAGGGGCGCTATCTGTGGCTCCTTTTCCTCCCCTACACTGCAGCCCAAGCCTCACAGATGGTAATGACGTGGTTTTGACCTGGACCTTGCTGTAATTTGGCCCTCTCCTTGACTTCCCTGGGTTTCCACCGCCCTGTCTTGTCCCATGCCTTTCTAGCGCTCTGCTGCTCCCCCTCACTCTGGGGCTTCTCGCCACCCCCTCGCTCTGGGGCTGGGGCCAGTGCACCCCAAATGCTGCACTCTCTCTGGTGCCGGGGTCCCCATGCTACCGTGGAGCCCCTATGAGGCCTCCTCCAACCCCTAATAGCCTCACCCTGTCCTACAGTGTTATAAAACTACAAACAGAAAACTCAAGCCCCTGGGCTATAACATAAAATCTAAGCTGTTTGGCTAACCATCATTCAAATCCCTACCAGGGAATTCTCCACCCCGTATCTGCGAACAGAAGCTGCTTGTGCCATCAGGCTTCTCTACTCTGCTTGCTCTAGCAGAGCTCCTTCTCCCTTGGCTGCTAGCAGAGAACTGCCCTTCTGGCCTCACTTCTGGGGTTTATATGTGCCAGGCCCTGCCCCTTCCTGTCAGCTGACTCCCCATGGCTCTTCCCCCACTACTCTATTCCCCTTCCCTTTCCCTGTGCACTTAATCCAACCCTTTGCCCCACATTACCTGTATTGTAGCACCCTGAATTTTGGTATTTCCTGCTCCCTGTCCCCATCTGATTCCCTTTGCTGCGTTAGTAAAGGAGGAGATTTGTCCTTCCCCAAGGACAGGGCAGTCCTTTCACTCAAAGATAGATAGATGGTGTATGCAGGGATAGACAGATCAATAGATCAATACAGGGTGTGCATGAAGATAGAAAAAGAAAGATTGGTGTGCATGGTAGGAGGGGGAGAAAGAGACAGAGAGAAAGAGGTGGATGTCCTTGGGGATAGGTGGACAGATAGACAGATTTCAATATTTTAAACTTTTATTACAAAAATATTAAAGACAAAATGAGACGGTGTCACACTGGAGAGCCCTCCATGGGGCTGGATATGAAAATATTTGTTAATAACAATATATAATTACAACCAGAGATTGAAACTCCCTTCCCAATGCCCATAAGGCACTCACACTTTTAGTACTTGCTGGCCATCTCCCACTGGACAGTGGTCCTTTGATGGCCCAGCAGAACACAAACCTAGTCATGTTGATGTAGTGGGTTGCCCATCCTTTAACCTGCCCCAGGGGCCAGTTTGCTTAAAACGCCCAGTCAATTGTCAATTCCGGTCCATGTATTTTACAAGGAGTATGCTTGTCCCCACAAGAAACAAGATAAGCAATAACATAAGCAGCAGGCAAATAACAAACAAAAGCAAAAGCTCCAGTCTTTTTTCAGACCTCAGGAGAGAGGCAACCCTGGCTGGGTGCTCATCCTCCTCTCTCCCTTCCCTGAGGGCTTTTAACTTCTCCCTAGGGCTAGTCAGTCAACCCTGACATCTGACACAGGGTTCCTTGGCTGGCAGGCTCCTCCCTAACCACCTGCAGTTGGGCTTCAGCTCCTAAGTCATGCATCCACTGTTACAGTTGTGGTGTAAGAGGAAGTGTCCAGATTCAAAGTAAACATGAACCTGGATCTGGAACTGGAAGGGGTGGAGATTGTCATCAAAATTGGTCCCTGCAAGCTGGTTTCTGTGGCCCTTCAGGGTCTTCATCTTGGCCTTGTCCAGTAAGAAACTTGCCAGGCAGATCATGCTCCCCAGCAGCTCAGTACAGGGCAGAGAAAATGTACACAGTGGGTGCCTACATATTCATTAATGCGCCTTTGTTGCTTCACATTCAGTTTAGTACCTCTAATATGAGGTACTACATAGAAGTGCATTAGCCTGCACTAATGTACAGTTGCAAAAGCAATTTTTTTTGTTATGCTTAATGCGTAGTACACTAATGCACAGTAGAATTAGTCTATTAGCACAGTTTCTGCCGTTACTGCAAAATGACATGAAAATAGCTACAGTAAATATGAATTTGTCAGCCTTAAGACGATCCCAGTTGGTTCAGAACAAAGGAGCCTGGCTGGGTATACTGAACACTGGGTGTGTCTACATGATATGTTTTACTGTGCAGGATTGCTAATTACTGCACAGTAAGCATCTACATCTACATGTGCAGATGCTTATCCCACAGTAATTGGCTCTAATCGCAAGTAAATTTACTACCTGAAAATGCAAGTAGCAAACTTACTCGAGATTACTTACTGCGCAGTAGTGCATGTGTAGATGCCTGACCTGGAGCAAATGTGCTCTGTCAGCTGGGCAGCAGGAGGCAGGAGATTGCTCCCTGCCCTCAGCAGCTGCCTGCTGCCGGGCAGACTCCGCTACTGGACCCCAGGTGGGGACAATGTCCTCCTGCCCCAGTAGCAGGGAACTCCCAGCCCCCACTCTACTAGGAGAAGAATCCCATTGCCAGCTGGGAGAAGAATCCCAGTGCCAGCACCAGCTCTGTGACAGTGGAGCAGGTGCTGGGAGAGAAGGATCTCCTAGTGCCAGCCCTGTGACCATGGAGCTGGCTCTAGGAGACAAGAATCTCCCAAATGGGGTCTTGCAAACATAAGGCTCAGACTAGGAGAGGAGAATCTCCCAATGCCAGCCCTGCAACAGCAGAGCTGGTGCTGGGAGATAAGGATCTCCCAGCCTGGGCCCTGCAATTGCAGAGTGGGGGCTGGGAGTGCCCTACTGCCAGGGCAGGGGAACATTGTCCCTGTCTGGGCGCTGGTGGCAGATCCTGCCCTGGCAGCAGGCAGCTCCCAGGAGCAGGGCGCAATGACTCAGAGCTCCCCCTGGCTGCTGAAGGGGCTCATAGCAGGGCTATGGGGAGTGGGAGCAGTCTGCTACTAGGAGCAGCAAATCTGGCCTGCGTTCTTGCACGTATAGATGCATGCCCAGGCGAGTTTACTCTTGAGTAGTTTACTCAAGAGTAAATTTTGCCTGGATTATTTGCACATGTAGACATGCCCACTAAGTCAGATTGTAGCTTCAACTCTCTGCTGTCCTTAGGAGTGGCCCAGGGTATTCCTCCCTACTTTGTTTATGGCCTTCTGCAATTGCTGCTGTCCACTGGAGCTGTCCCACTTTGTGCACCAAAATCTGCTTCTGGCATGAATGAGTTTCTAGCCATAGGCCACAGAAAGGGATTAGAAAGGTTGCTGTGACTGAGTTAGCCAACTAGGACAGAGTAATGTTACATTTCTCAGCCAAGCCTTTAGAGAAAACTTTGTGTGGATAAGAAAAGCATTATGTGACTGCAAGCTGTATTAAATAGAGGAATCTCTTTGTTTTGTCCTGAGTTTAGGCTTGAGCAATCAGCAGTGCTCTGAGACCTTTGCGTGGGACTGGCTCCACTCTGAGTTGATGAGCTCGCCCTCCATTTACACTTGCAAACCTCAGCCATTGCACATCAGAATGTCCACCCACCTCCTCCAGCTATTCATGCCCATGACAAACTGAACCGAATCACACAAAAAGGCAAAGCGCACTTGGCACTGCAAGCATTATGTGGGGGCATTACAGCCCTTCCCTTACAGAAAAGCTGTCCCCAGGCACAGAGAAGGTTGGAGAAAGCAACATTTTACTAGAGCTCCTAGCATGAAAAAGATGTGTACATTCATGCACACCCACTGAAAATGTACATGAGGGACCTGAGGCAGCATTATCCTGCAGTCTCTGATGTCTGCAAGGGGAAAGCAAGAAAATGGAAGCACCGTTTTAACCTCAGTTAGATACCACTTCCTTGGCAGCAAGACAGGAAGGATTTCATAAGTAATCACTACACAGAGGTTTAAAATATCTGGGTTTTACTCCTCTCGGTGCTGGATCAGTGGACACCTTGTATCTCAGTTTGCCCAAGATATCAGAAATGAATCAGGACCCTGGAGACTTAAACCATGAGCTGGTTTATTTCTCAAAGTGCAACTGATTCAAAAGCCAGCTCCCCTCAAACAACAACCTTGCAAAACTTTGTGGAGCATTTCAATATCCCATGTTCCTTGCACAAACTACTGCTAGGATCTGCCAAACTGCTGACAGCAGGGTCAGCCCCAGGGTAGTCTGTCTGCCTCTGCTGAGCTCTGTGTGATACTGAACCCTGGGTTCAAGCTGTTTCCCCTTTTATGCACAGTTTTTTAGTCAATTGGTCACCTACTGTGTCTGAAGCCAACCAAGACCAGTCTAGTGGTTGGTCCTTCATAGCTGAATTCTCCTGTTGCAGTATTTTTGTCTCATTTTTTTTTTATGAGCCTGCCTGACTTGGCATTTTTCAGTTACTCACTTGTAGCAATTATATTTTTATTTACTCAGGCTATGTAGGGAATAAATAAAGTACTTGGCATTTAAACTCTTCAGGGCAGATATTGTGTTTTATTAAGTTACAATAAGCTCTTAGGACCATATCTCTTCCAGCTCAAATAAGGTGCCATTATAGAAATAATAATAATCATCCTTATGCCACCTGCAATTACAACGTCAGGGGAGGAGGCTATTTTTTAAGTTTAAAATATGTGTTCTCCAGGGTCTTTATGTTATCACATCTTTTCTTTCAGAACAACAAAACAAATTGTTTGGCAAAACAGGAGAGTGAAATCCCCACAGTGGATATATAGCCTTCTGCGCTCAAGCTGCATAATGAACTCACCTCATTACATACAATACTTTCATCATCAGAAATAATGATAAGAAAATGCCAGCTGTAGTCCCTTACTGAAACTGTAAACCAAATTCAGACCTCAGAAGTAATGGTCAAAATCCTGCTGAACCAATAGAATCAGTCTGGATTTACACTGGTACACCTGAGAGCAGAGCTTGGCTTTGGAATTCAGAGTCTCCGATTAACAAGTGTAGGCGTGAGTCTAATGCCTTGTTTTAGAGAGAAAAAAGTGTGCATGTGAGAGACCATATATTGTTCTGGGAACAACTTTTTGTGCACATGAAAAGAGAGGGAATTGTATTGGTTTATAGCAGTCCTCCCTTCCAAATGAATTTGGTTGGGAGCATAGTTGTGTTTTGTTGTCACTGCACAAAATAAATTTCCCCTGAAAACTCCCTTCTGGTTAACAACTCTCAATGTGACCTTGTCAGCTTAGAATTTAAACAAGAGATCTCTTGTCCACATAACACTAAATGAATAAGGGAATAACATCAATGGCTTCTGTAAGTGACATGAGGCATACACGGGACTACTTTATGGCTTGAATTTTTAGTTCCAAGAAATCTTTCTTGAATATATTGTCAATTCTCAAATCCATGCATACAGAGCATGGCTTGCTGATGTATACTGCTGCTAAGGTTAACTGAGCGTGTGTCAAAGAAAGGTTACTTGTATCTGGTTCTTTGAGATGATTGCCGTCACAGATCAAGTTCAGTCCCTGTAAAAAAACCCAACTGTTTGAGTCACAGTGGATTTTCTCTGTCTTTTTCAGAGAAATACTTCAGTTCAAGCACAAATCATTGGGCTCAGTAGTGGTTTGCTTACATACTGAGGAAGAAAAATTCCTGTCACAGCAGGAGTCACTGAATATAATGCTCTGGTCCATGCTATTCAGGTGCTCAGTTTAGATGAGCACAGCAGTCCCTTATGGCCTTAAAATTGATGAACCTATCATGTGTACAGAGACATACAAATCTGTTGTCCTTTTAGATATGCTGCAGACTCAGCCACACTTAGATCTTATAAAGAACCCTGGGGGGAGATTTTCAAGGGAGTCTGAATCCGAAATCCCAACTTTCCCACCTCTGTCTCTCTGTGATGATGACTGATGCTTGCACCAAATTTCAGGCACTTGCCAGGTGGCACCACGTAACTTTGCGCTTCAGGGGGTTGCTGATACAGGCCCCACAAAATGAAAGTGGGCATGGAGGAAGGAAGAGATACTAAATCCCTTTATTAAACTGGCTTGTGTACTTGTTCAGACAGTAGAGTTCTGATCTGTGGTGGAGGCCTATTTTCTTGGGAATAGTATAGTAAAAAGGAATGAAGTCCCTTTCATAGACATTAGGGGCTAGAAGTGATCTCATGAGATCATTGGGTCCAGCCCCCTGCCATAGGTGGGAAGTCAGCTAGGATCAAGTGATCCCAACAAGAAATAAATCCAGCTGTTTTTTGAAGGAGTCCAGAGTAGGTGCTTGTACCACCTCTGGGGGGAGTTTGTTCCAGACCCTGGATACATGCACCGTAAAAAAACCTTTTTCTTATATCCAGTCTAAATCAGCCTTCCTGGAGTTTATGGCCATGGGACCTTGTTATTGCTCAGGGAGCTCTGGTGGATGGATGTTCTCCCAGGTTCTGATGTACCCCTCTTACAAAATTGTAGGCTGCCACCAAGTCCCCCCTGAGCCTTCTCTTGTCCAGGCTGAAGAGTCCCAGGTCCCTCAGCCTTTCCTTGTAGAGCCTTCCCTCCAGGCCTTGGATCATATGAGTGGCTCTCCTCTGGACTCTCTCAAGCTTCCAGACTTCTGTTGCTCCTAGCAGAGATAGGAGATGAATTAATCCCTTAAGACTTTCTTGGGAATGATGGTGTGCACATGGTGGGGATAGGTGCACTATTTTCAGGACTCAGCAGTCTGATATCATTCCACTCCTTGGTGCAAAAAACCAGAAAGGTGCACTTCGGGGGGATTGGATACTCTTATGGCATGTGACCTCAGACTACTTGCTGGGTGTCCCTCTGCATGGGGGTTTGGATGCTAGGGAAGACTGTAGATCTGCCCTACAGATTTGGTTCTGGTCTGTTTTTCTTTTGATACTCTTATCCCACCCTCACTATTATGGCCTCTGAGGATCCACCGGAATTAGAGAGCCAATAAAAGCTCTCTGCCTCTGTTGCTAACTTGTTTGCATGCAGGATGCAAGGAGTCCAGAGAATCACCTCAATTTAGCCTGGTTCTGATAAGGTTTCCAGGCCTGGAGCTCCATCTGAGCCATGGAGATATAATTTCACTACGGAAAGACTGAAACACAAGTGTGATATTTCCTGCTCACTGACCAGTGCTGTACACTGTAAAGAAGGGGTATGACACTCATGTGGGCACCAGGGACAAATCTGGACCTTGGGGCTCCTTTCAGGCTGGATATAACCTGGGGCATAAGGGCTGCTGCAGTTGCTGGTGGCGATGGTGGTAGAGTCCAGAAACAGCATAGGGTCTGATGGCAGGAGAGCAAGGCCAGGAGCAGTGCAGGGTCTAGCAGAGGCAAGGGTGAGGGTGAGAGTGGGGGCAGTGCCAGGTCTGGCAGCATTGAGCAGAGCTCACTGCCAGTGATTCTGTTCAGCAGGGTCAAAGGGCTCAACTTACAGTGCCCTCCAGTAGCCCAGTGGGCCAGAAGAAGAAGCTCCACAGGCCAAATATGGCTCATGTAAGTTTGACACCCCAGCTGTAGAGTCATAGAATCATAGAATCAATGAGTGGGAAGGGACCTAGACAGATCATCGAGTCTGATCCCCCGCCATGGGCAGGAATGAGCACTGGGGGTGGGAGGGGTCATAAGACCCCAGCCAGGTGCCTATCCAGTCTCTTCTTGAAGATTTCCAGGGAAGGTGAAAGCACCACCTCTCCGGACAGCCTATTCCAGGCTCTGGCCACCCTTACAGTGAAGTAGTTCTTCCTAATATCTAACCTAAACCTATCCTCCCTCAGCTTGTGGCCGTTGTTCCTGGTGACTCCAAGGGGGGCCCTGGTGAACAGACTTCCCCCAAGTCCCTGCTGCTGGCCCCTGATAAGGTTGTAGGCAGCCACAAGATCCCCCCTCAGTCTCCTCTTGCGGAGACTGAAGAGATTCAGGTCCCTCAGCCTCTC